TATTTCACTTTTCTATTTTAATTTTACCTTTTTGTTGAAAACAAAAGAAATTTAAAAAAAGCATAAAATAAAAAAATTAAATAAATAGTTCTTTTAAAAAAAATTATTTTGAAAAATAAAAAGACTAATTTATAATTTACTCAATATAAGACTTATATTCCTAATTGAAATTATTGTAATTTTGTTTTCAACCAAGCACATGTATAATGGGTATTGGTTAATAAAGTTGAAAACCTAACATAAACCCTATGTTTGGATAATTCCTCTTGGGAGGAAAGAAAAGAGAGGAAAGAAAGTGAGAGAAAAGAAAAGAGGGAGGAAAGAAAATCATTTTTCACTTGTTGTTTGGATAAGAGTGGAAAGAAAAGGAAAGAAAATATATTTCCTTTGTTTGGAAGAGGAAGGAAAGAAAATGTATGATTGTATATTTACTATAATACCCTTGTGATTATATTTCTATATTTAAATACTTATAATAAATTTGTATGAATATTTTTTTCATGAAAATAACACAAATAATAATAAAATAAAAATCTAGCATGTAGCATATATCCGAAATGATAAGAAAGATAATGAATCGTCTCCATAGAATAATCGATAATCGTTTATTAATTAATTAATCCAATAGCCAATTTAGATTAATTATCAATATAAAATTAATTTAAATATGTATAACATGTATTATTATCTTTTTTGGGGTTTTTTTTGGGTTGTTGTGAAGTTCGGTTTGGGAGTATTTTAAATCTTCCTTGTTTTTGCAAATAAAATTATTTAATTATTTTGACAGGCGATAAATTTAAAAATACATTGCATTTTTATTTAAGAAAATCTATTTAATCTTAAAAAACATGTAGTATTAGTACAAAACTCAATTCTTCAAATTTCACCATGAAATTTATCAAAAAGCTCAGCCGAAACGCTTATTTGGCTCCAAAACAAAGTCCCTGTAAGTATCTCACATACTTCCTCATTGGTGCATCGAGTGGTGCACAAAGATGAAGTCAAAAGTCCCATGGTATTTGCCCTGTCGTTTCCTACGTAGAATAGTAAGCTTAGTAACATTTTAATATCTCAAATTGAAAAAACGAGCAATATTTCTTTTTCTCGGACAAGTAATCAAACAAGGAAGTTTTTCCTTTTTCCATTTTTATTTTTTTGTCAAGCATAGAATATTTCTTACATCTTCAATCATTTGATCAAGAACTGGCGAGCATGGCCTTCCTTGAAATCAATCTTGTGTGCAACACCGACTTTTCGAATCACCGGGAGACCCAATTCATAGTTTTCTTTGTTGATGTCCATAGCCAAGTTCTACAACAATCACAAACGATATTCCAAAAGTTTTTAGTTTACCTTCCCATCCTCAACACAAATTAACAAGTGGGTTTTGGTCGCTTCAAACAAATTTCAAGTTTATTTCTCTCGAAACGAAACAGAAAATTGAAATACTTGGAAGGAATCGATTCAAGCGACAACGAGATAAATGAAGTACTAACCTTGGAAATGAGATTGGGGCGAGCCAAGGAACAAGGTATTGTTGGCTGATTTGAGTAAATTACTCTCTGTTGCTATCAAATTGAAATTCAATGGTTCACAAAGCGATTTGATATATATATATATATAAGAGAGAGAGAGTTTGAAGAAGAAAATAGAAACGAAATACAAGTAGAAGGAGAAACTATTAAATATTAAAAAAAAGAAAAAAAAACAAAGAAGAAGCAGAGTAGAAGACGAAAAAGAAGAGGAGAACAAGAAGAGTGAAGAAGGAAAACTCGTGTTGATTTGCAGATTTGTTTCGTTTCGCAGCGGTTTACAAAGGAGAGGGACGACTCGGAGGTAGAGGGCAAAAACGTGATCACAAAAAAAAGAATGAAGTACCACGTTTTCCCTTCCATTTCCTCCCAATTTTGGGAGGAAAATGAGTCCCACTTAAAATACGTTTTTTTATTATTTTTTTCTTTCCATTGCTTTCCTCTCCTAACCAAACGGAGGAAAACATTTCTTTCCTCTCCCCCACTTTTCTCTCTATCCAAACAAGGGGAAAGATTTTGTATTTTAGCCCTCGTTATTTTTCATGGGTATTGTTTTACTACAGTACACACATGCACACGACGAAAAAAAAAAAAAAAAAAAAAAAAATATATATATATATATATATATATATATATATATATATATATATATATATATGCACCATGAAACATGCATACTTAAGCATTACTGACGTTATCTTAATAAGTTGTAGTAAAGGATAATCCCTATGCAAAATAAAAAAAAGGAAAAAGAACAGAAAAACTTGTTAGGGATACAAAACATGTAAAAATACTAGTTGTATGAACGTTGAAAAAGAAGTGGCCATAAGAAACGCATTCTTAAGCAGTACTGAAGCTATCTTACTAAGTTATGGTCAAAGGATAATCCCTATCGAAAAAAAAAAAAAACTTGTCATGGATAAAAAAATATGAAAATACCTAGTCAAGAATAATACCTATAAAAAGAAAATCTTGTCAGGATATAAAACATATGAAAATACTGATCTGCATGAATGTTGAAAAAGAAATGGCCAACAGACACGCATATCTAAGCATTATTGAAGATATTTTACTAGTTCTCGTCAAGGAGCCTTTTTATTATTTCAGCAAACCAATAAATCGTGACACAGAACTCAAGAAAAAAGTATGTTTGGTAGGAAAAGATGGCAACGTGTGTTTACACAGGATTTGGGCGGCGTAGAAATCATTGCTCAAGGTTGCAGTCATTGCTTGGGAGCATGCATTCCCTTCTTCCTTGACGGTTTGAGTATATCTTTTTGTGCAGAAATTGAGTCTTGTCACCCCTTCAAATTACAATCACTTTAAAAATTCAGCATTTAGGGCCATAAGGGTGTGGAATCCTTACCTAAGCGACGCTTCCGCCCTCAGAATTAGTAATTTTAGCCGTTTAACTTAGACTTTAAAATAAAGATAAATTACCCTGTTGACTGTCTTTTTAAGTTTTATACGAATTGCTTGATTCAATTTGTTTTTAATTCAGATGGTCACAAAGTAATGCATAATAGTATTTTTTTTAATAATAATAAAATGATGTAAACCCTTGACATCCTCTTATACTGTAAACAAATAAATTCAAAAATTAACCAAATAAAAATGTTTAAAATAAAAAAAATAGAATAAGCAAATTACAAAAATAAGAAGTTAAACCTTATCCTTTATTCGATCATAAATGACCCATTTTAGTATATATATATTAACATAATTTTATTTATTCTACTTTCTTAAAATAAAAAATTAAAATAAAATAAAAAATAAAAATAATTAAATTATAAGAAAATTTTAAAATATAAAAGCTAAATAAGTTGTTTGTAAAACAAATAGGACTGCCCAATTAATTTATAAGAAGCAGGATGATTAATTCATCTTTTAAAAAATTAATTAAACATCATTGGTCAATTATTTCGCCCATAATACCTTTATGCATGGGTTATTATAATTGTTAAAATAATTCTAACTCCGTTGATTTTTTTACTTTTTATTTTTTATAGGATGAACCTGTGAGGAATTAATTTTCATAACTTGTACAAGAAAACTTTGTATTTTTCCAATGATGGTGGAACGTGCTTGGCATGACCGCCAGTAGGAAACATCATTGCCACTTGCACGACATAAAAGGAGGCTCGATTTTTATACGTTGAAAATTGGTTGGCTAGCTTGAGACTTGATCATGCATGACACAATCGGCTTGACACTATGGTTAAATGTGCTAATGGTTTGAATTTGCAAAGTGAAGCAACGGAAATAAAAGTGGAAAAAATATTACATAATAATATGTTGCGGGGTTTGATAGATTGAAAGAAATCGTTAAGATATTATTTATTTATAGTTATTATTAGTATTTAAATATTATAACAATCAAACAAATACGACAGATCCAAAAAATATTGCATTATAAACCCAATAAATTATATGGTTTTATTTGTTGAATTCTGACTTAATGAATGGCATTACTTTTTTATGAGTAAAAATAAATGTTATTAAATTTTTTGAAATATTATAAGAATGTAATTCAGAAATTAAAATTCATCTATAGTAATAAAACATTATGATTACTACCTCGGGAAAGTGTTCAGATGAAAATTTTGAAATTCAATTGGTCTATTACGTAGTATTTAACGATGAGTTAAGTGTCTTAAAGACACCCTTAGCATTTTATAAACTGTAACTAAGTTAGTCATCCTCCGTAATAAAAGAGGGTCGGATGGATAAGCACCACCTCACCACCCACCCCACAAGGCACAGTGGGTTCAGAGAGCGGTAACCTAGTCATCATCTACAATGGCTGGCCTATAACTTTTTCAGTATGGGTGGGTCTATTAAGCATGGAAGTGTCTACACGTGTGAAAATGAAGTAAATGATATTTCAAATTCATTTAGATACCTTGCGTGCCTGATCCCTTACAGTAGAGTGTTTGCCAGCGCTACATTGCCATCGTCGAGGTAGACAACTGCATGCCTTCACTTCATGCCGTCACATCTACATCCACCCAAGTCCCAACTATCCCGCCCAAATATCCCGCCCACGAACCTTCTTCTCCTGAATTCCAAATTCAAATAAACATCCATCTGTCTCCTCTCTTTTACCATTAAAAAAACACTTCATATCTCTTATTCATACATGCCCTACTTATCTCCTTATTCGATCTGGTCTATGACCAACTTGGTCACCATCTTCATTTTCTATTACTTGTTATTTTCAATTCTAATTGCAGAGCTCTCTTTTGATGTTCAATAACTTTGATCTCTTTACCAACTACAGCTTCTTCTCTACCTCCAGCTCCAGGTTCTCCTTCGCCTCACTTCATGCTTCTTTCTCTCCCTTCTAGCTCTCATAATTAAACAGCGTCATGCATCTTAAATTCATAAAGTTTTTTTGGATGTTTAGTGTACTTACATTTTAACCAAACCAAAGAAATGTGTCGAAATCTGGGTGATGACGTACATTAGGCGACTCCAATCGTTCCCTTGACGTGGAAGACAAGCGAGGTGGATGTGGTGCGAGTTATTTTTCAAACGATGTAAGGACTTCTTAAATAGACTCCTAGCTTTTGTCTTGTATAATAACATATTTAGATTGTTAGTCATTTTTTTACTATTGAATGCATTATTGTTTCGGTCATTATGAATTACTGTCGTGATAATGTAATTCATTACTGGTCCAAGTGATGTCAGAATGAGAGATAACTATTGTTCCTAAAGTACAGAGAACTTCGCCATTATATTTAGGTCTATGCAAAGGGCGAGGAGAATATTATTTTCAGTCAGACCAAACGAGATGGTGATGAAGTCTCTATGGCATTGATACACAGCATAGCTTCCGCGACATTGCATGGAGGTATATCTCAGCATCAAAGGTAGAGAACTTTGAATGATTTTGGACAGGGAAAGTTCACTGTGCATGTTGCCACGTACGTCGCATTTCCTGGGCTTGCATAAAGAACTGTTATTTTGGGTTTATTTTTATGCTAATCGGTTTTATCCATTCTAACAATCTGCAGGTATTAGGGAGAAGAAAGCAAGGTTTTGTAAGGAAAAAGAAAACTGACAGCTACTCCTTGCATCGCAGGTAATAATGCCCAAAACTTTTCGTTTTAAAATTCAGTGGCTCCCAATCTCACTTATTTTGTATTTCTTTGACATTTATTGTTTCATGAGTCGTACAAGTGCATGGGTATTGTCTACTGGAAAGTTGCATCTTGAAGTTAATAGAGATTCCTTATCAAAGGGAATGGAGCAAATGAGTGTTCCTTGTATGTCGACTTTTTGACAAGAAATTAAAATAAGTAAATGTGAATTACTTTAGTGCTTGCAGGTTGAGTTGTTTCCCAAGTTAGAGAAGCTTAGCATCTGGAGTTGTAAAGATGTAGAATCACTTATTTTGGGCGCGGGACCTCTTGGTGATTTTACATCCCTTCATTCGTTGTCAATCTACGATTGCTCTCGAAATTGTTTGGTTATTGGATTGCAGAAAATTGAAGTCCCTTCCAGAGAGAATGCATTAGGAATTCCCTCCAAAAAGGGGGTTTGCTCTCCAAATTAAAATCACTTTCGCGTCACCGATTGCAACAAATCAACGCAGGCCACTTGCATTGGGATTTGCAATCACTCCATTCTTTTTCGTCTTGAAATCAGTTATCTTGGTATCTAAAATCTCTCAACTACAAGGGTCTTCAACACCTCGCATCTATCGAAGAATTGACGCCGCATGTCATACCCATCTCACTCAAATATTAATTTGCATAAATTTATTTGTATGTATTTATTAGAATGAATTAATATTTTTGTTTAGAGTTTAGGGGTTTTTGGACTTGGATTTCGGTTTGGATAAAAAATAAAAAAATAAAGAAACAAAAATGAAGGAAAAAAAACCTAAAAAGACGGGAATAAAAAAAATAAAATGAAAAAGAAATATGGAAAAGAAAAAAGCAAAAAAAAAAAAAGAAATAGAAAAGAATAAAAAAAACAATTAAAAAAACCGAACATAAAAATAAAAATACCAGAACAAAGAAAAAATCAAAAAAGAAAAGATTAAGCGAAAAAAAAAACATAGAAAAAAAATAAAGCAGAAAAGAAAAAAAATAAAAAAATTAAAAAAGGAAAAAAAATAGAAGAAAAGAAAATTGAAAAATAAAAAAACCAGAAAGCAAAAAAACTGTGAAAGAAAAAAAAAGAAAAAAAGCAAAAAGCCAAAGAAAAAATCAAAAAATAGTGAATAACATTAACATAATTAAAAAATAAAAAAATAAATAAAAAAAAACATTACACACAAAATCGAAAAAAGAAAAACAAGAAGCCAAAAAGCTAACAGTAGAAAAAAAAACCCACAATATAAAAAACATATAATGAAAAAAAATAAAAAAAAACCGAAGAAAAACAAGAAAAGAAAAACAAAGCAAATGTAAAAATGCAAAATAATAAAAAATAAAAAATAAAACAACAAAAAAAAACATAAAAAGAAAAATATAAAAATAAACCAAAAAATAAAGGAAAACAAAAGAAATTGAAAATAAAAAACTAAAAGAAAAAGAAAGGAAAAATAAAGAAGTAAAAGGAAAAAAAAACGCAAAAAAATAAAAAATAAAAAAAGAAAATAAAACAATTCCTAAGAAAACGAAAGAAATATGCAAAAAAAATTAAAAAAGAAATAAAGAAAGAAGCATAAAAAATAAAAATTTCAATAAAAAAATGAAAAGAAAAAAATAATCAAAACAAAAAAAATAAAATAAAATAAACCGAAGACCAAAAAAAAAAACAACAAAGTAAATATTAAAATGAAAAAATAGAAAATAGAAAATAAAAAGTTGAATTAAAAAAACAAACTTAAAAATCGACCAAACAAGAAAAACACTCAAGAAACGATAATTAAAAATAAAAAAAGAAAAAAAAAGGAAAAAATAAAGAAGTAAAAGAAAAACTAAGAAAACCAAAAAAAATTAAAAAAGTAAAAAAAAAAAGCAAACAAGCAAAAAAACTTAAGAACGAAACAAAAGAAAAGAAAATAAAACAATTCCTCAAAAAAAGGAAAGAAAGATGCCAAAAAATTAAAAGGGAAAAAAAGCAAAAAGTATCAAAAAACAAAAAATAAAAGCAAAAAACTAAGAAAAAAAAATGCAAAAAACAAATGATCAAAACAAAAAATAAAAAAACCAAACCGTAGAAAAAAAAAGAAAAACAAAGGAAATATTAAAATGCTAAAAAAAACAGACAATAAAAATTAAAAAATAAAGAATCAAAACAAAAAAAAAACTTAAAAAGAACATAGAAATCAAACAAACAAGAAAAAAAGCTCAAGAAACGATAATTAAAAATAAAAAAAGGTAGAACAAAAGGAGAAAAAAAGAAGTAAAAGAAAAACAAA